ACAGAACGACGATTTTCCACTGTTGATAATAGCATACTTTTGTCTTTGTATTTTTACAATGGTTTACTGTTTATAGTTTTTATGATCATTTTTTGTTATGAGAAAAGGGAACATAATGAAGGCCACCAACATCAAAACTAAATAAATGTGAAAGAATAATAGCTTCATTTGTATTAATGTCTGTGAGTCTCACTCCAGTCGAATAGACCGAGTTAAGACTGTAACAAAAATAATCCGTTTTTGGCACGGCAAATTAAAAAAAATAAAGGTAAAACAACACGATCATTTATTTGTTTATAGCAATTGAAACAAAACGCCAGTAGCAATATTTTGTTTTAAAATTGAATATCGAAAGTACGATACGTAAGGTTCGGTTTTGATTAAAATCACATTTCGATTCCAATAAATTATGGTAGAGAGATGACTTTCAATGTTTCTATCGGATACAATTATAACCAATAAAGTCACGACATTTCCACCAATTTCCTCATTCTGATTCGAAATATGCCAATATCGTACATGCACATCGTATCTTATACTCGCGGAAATCGCTAATTGACCCTAATTAAAATCGGCGTACGATATGCAGAATGCTTAGTAATGATTTTACAAATTGTGAAAGTATGATCCACTTAAACAATTGTACGTTTTGAAACATTCCAAACCCACAGTTGCAAATAACAGTGATGAGTGATCCTCCGACGTTGTCAAGACAGAGACAGATACATTGGTGGACGTTTTCAGTTTGCTTTAATTTCGTAGTTTCCGTCGCTTCTAGTAAGTGCGATGAAGATCGCGATTACTAGGAGTGTTTTTGTTGTAGGGTAGCGACGTGTCAAGATCTTGCGGGGTGCGTTTTTCGAGCTGCCGTAGCGTAAAAGTTAGATAAAAAGTGGAGTTGCGATTGCAGAGAAATGAATGTATGCTTTTTATCGACACGATCGCCGAAGTTGTATAAAAGTTTCAGTAAAAGTAAATTCGTATGAAAGCCTCTTTGAAGAATGACTTCACTTATTTCCAGGAGAGCGTTCCGATATAAAATTTTAAGTTGCCGTTTTTTCATATTGTCACATGTACTTACGCCGACCACGCACTGTTTACTATGTCCGTGTGACGTACAAACTTAACTACGAAATTTGTAACGAGTATATCATCTGATTTCTGACAATGCAGTACATGTAAAATAGCCACATACACACGGTTATACACGATAAGGTTGCACGCGATATAGCGCTAAAATGCCGCCCTGCAACACTCCTACATGTTATTATATACTCGTTCGCCCGCTTGTGCCGGTCCAATTATACGGCCAAATCTATATTCATTCTTTTGTTTCAATTAGCCGCAATTAGAATTAGATTACTTAAGGTACGATTTCATGTCTAGATATTTGGCGGGTTACACCGGGCACCGAACGTACGTTTTTAGGTTGTCGCAACTAAGCCGATTGTAACACATGTAATAATGATAATTAGTAAGTTAACAACGATTAAGACGGGTGATGTAGTAAGTCGTACCTATTTCTGGGTTGATTTATGCAATAAAGACCAAGTCGCGCCTAACGGTAATTAAAATTTGGCGCTGCCTTTGTCTTTGAAGTTCTTACCTCCCACTTTTGTATTTTAATTTTGCGCGACATCAATAACTAATCTAATTTTGTAACCTTCTTATGAACAATTTGCGAATGTTCCATGGTATCACTCTCACCTAGTCCTTAATGGACTCGTTGAAAGCAGTGCCGTACTAATTGCTTTCCCTGTGGTAGTGACATTACTCTTACCTGCGTTAGTGTGCACCTGGGTCGATTCGGAATATTTTAGCATAACTTTTATGAATTACTCTTATTGCAACGCATGCATAACTCATTAAGCCGCCCTTACATTACGCGTAGAATAGAATAAATTTAACAGGATTTCTGAATATTTACTTGGGCGCTGAGCGATTAAGAACACGCTTAATTAAATGGCCGACCGAGAGCTTGTAACGTTCCTAAATAAAATACGTGCAACTCACTTTCCACTTCAATCCCGTAAAACTGTCTCGAGAGATGCGACGATGTCACAAATACTAGGAAAAACTTGCCACCCTAACGAATAACATTGAAACACGTTTCAATAAAAACGAATAGCTAACGAAAAAGAAAGCGGACCGAATGGGAGGCGCAGCGAGCTGTACAATAGGAGTGAGCGAACTGCATAACGGTATACACAAAAGAAAAAACCTAACGCATCGGCGACCGTGAACGCCAGTTTGCAGTTTCAGAAAACGCCCGACTTGGCTAACTTGACCTGACCGACGGTCAACGGTCACCGACCCACCTCAGGGTAGAGAGAATTGTACTTGAATACGGGGTCCTGCACATCTTGTGCTGCTTCAAACACACTAACTTGTTAAACGGAGGTCCTGAGGTATTAATCCCACTTTTGAAATAGGGACCGGTCTTGAACCAACGCAGCGTAATACCGGAAGGTGTCTTTGTACTAATTTTTGGGTTTAGGCGGATATAGACTTGGATGACGCTCAAGTTGAGACTACAGAGGACCGTCGAGGGATGTAAAGCTATAAACCGTGTTTTTCTGCCTCGACAGCACTCTAACTCACAGAAGTGCAATGTGTCCTAACAAGTATCTAAAAGACAGGTTCAACATGTTGTAGTGATTAAGTGTCTTAAATCATAATAATAATAATAATAATAATAAGTGTGATTGGTTTTGTTTGGTAACGAATGACATGTCCGGCGAGATTATCGCCAGTTCCGGAAAAAATATCAAATGCGTTAACGAAGAGCACACATTTCAATAAAAATATGGAACAGATAAGAGAAAAGACAAGTCGTGAAGTTTCCAGATAGGCGAAATCCCTTGTGAAAAGCTTTAAAACGATATGGCATGCACGGGATTTACCACGCGTTTTATGTATAGGAGGCACTAAATAATCGTTCGCCATTGCGAAAGCTCGCATATTCATTATCAGTGTCATTATTTGGCACCAATAACATCGTTTTGATTATCTAGTCATTATGAAAATATGCATCAAACATGAATACACCGTTGAGTCATGTACACGAAATTCATTTACATGCCTCGTAATTAAGTGTTATAATTATGTTTGACTTTGTAGAGGTTTTTTATTGGACACGAGTGAATTATGCGTCGGCAGCTGTGTATCCTCTCCACGTACATATAATTAATATTACAAATATGTGCTATTGAATTCCAATAGGATACAAAAGTTGTGCCCTGTCACAATCTAACTATTGGACGTGGCTTCCCAAGCAAACCAATCATTAAATTAAATAATAATAGGAAGAGACGTCAGGTAGGGCCTCACAATTACCTCCATTGATAATTGACGATCAGTTACATAAAATAACTCACGATTGATTTTCCGGGGCGGTTAACTCATGAATCTTCAACGAATATCAACTAAATCTGTACAACTGATTGTATCACTCGTATTTATTACACGAAGATAGATTCAAATCACGAAGTACAACACATGAAGTGAAGTTTATTAAAAAAGGCGATGATAACCCGAGTTTCAAAAAGTATTTTTCGTTGTTTCTCTGTCTCTTCGTCGAACACGTTAAATTCCTCTCCACTTTTACCATACATGACCTTATCTACAACCGCCTACACCACAAGTAAGTTTCGCACCCGGCCCAATTCAATCAATATTGATCATTAAAACTATTTCTATGTGTGGTCCAAATTTACTAGTTGAGCAGTTTTATTCAGTACGACGTGCTTTTCCCCATATAACAAATTTCTAAAGAATTGCATTGCAAAATTGTACTCTTTGTACTACGTTAATAACAGATCAAGTTATCACGCACATTAATACATTATATAGAGTGGAAGAACTGCAAACTGCGATAAAGGTTATCGTTTACACTTGCTATAATTCTACAAATCTCATGGTCAAAAGCTGCGATAACTAGAATTGTAATAATTTTCCTCTGTGGGAGAAAAACTAAACACGAACATTCCCGTTTAAACGAGAAAGGAGAGCCGTTATCAATAATCGATTAATCCAAATATTTGCCCATCCCCTGATTTAAACGTGTCACTTAATGGTTTCGTCGAGGGAAGTCGCCATCATCGGAACTGACACGCCGATGTCAACTAAACAGGTGCACAGGGAATGGTGCATAAAATATTACACTAGTGCGGTAAAGAATAACTACAATGTGTATTTGAAGTAGGTGTACGTGTTTCTAAAAATGTTTTTTACAAAACACATAAAAGTCTGTTTACGTTTCATGCACAGCTTAGTTGAATTGAAAGTAGTTCAGTAATAGTTAGTTTAGACTGCGCGATGGCAGCACGGTGTAAATTTTCCTCATTAGGTGAAAGTGATCGTGTTTAGTGTGACAATGCATCTAGTGATTTTGAAAATTTAGCGCAAGTGGTGCAGTTTGTGTACAAAATGCATCGCTTAGAACCTTGTTTGTAAAATTTTCGCCCCATAAAAACGCCACGAAATATGAAATATATTTGCCGGCGGTGCAGTACGTAGCAAAATATTAATATTTTTTTTACATGAATTTTCGTAAAAACCAGTCATGTTTCAGTGTCGCTACAATAACACGACACATAGATTACGGGCGATATGGAACCGTGCTATACATTTCTATTATTAAACATGGAACTCGGAATAAAATTATCACGGAAAGAGTAATTATACGTAATTAAAAAACAGATATTAATTCATGTAATTCGTAATCGGTTCGATGTAAATTTCACACACAATCACTCGAGTGAGTTTTTACGCCAATCCCGTTACGCTGCTTTTTCTCTTCGGAAAGCTCGTAAAAATGGATAGGTTCTATGGCCATTTCAAAATTAGACGGAAAACAGTTCGGTTCGTGTGATCACCGCCACTCAAATGAAACGTTACGTTTTTTTAAGTTATTTACGTTTATCAGAGGAACAAGTGGGCATTCGTACGTTTTCGCGTAACGAACCTCCAAAAATATTTATTCTTGATTTTGGTTTCAGGGTGACGGTGCCATGGCCTGGCATGGGAAGGTCCGGCCCGGCCTGCTTCTTCTACTCTTCTCATTCGTTGTTATCTCGGAGGCAATGGCCAAAAGCATAGGTAAGTGATGATGCATTTTTAAAAAATCAAAAAACGCTACATGACTAGAACGTTTGTGTGTTCTTGAAACTCAAAAACCGTTAAAAGTAACGCGTGAGCGTCAATTTTTCCAATACGACATACTCTCAACACAAATTTGATTTTTGTCTAGCTTGTAATAATTTATGCAATTTGCAAATATCCTGTTAAGCTTACCCCATCGCACTTTACTCATTAATTTTCTTAAGCTTGAATGCATTTTATCTCCTCCAAGTAATCATATCGTTATAATTCAATTTCCTACCCCATACATGATGCTTTTACGACCAAACTGAGTATTGATTTTGGTAATTACTTGGCGTTCAAATAGAAATTTCGGAGGGGTTTTAGTTACCTTCATTTCACGGACTTTCTATTCTAAATTACATTACTGTCGTCAGTAATCTATTCTGCCTAATTTCGTTTTTTCGCTGAGTTTGATTTTTAGGTTAGGTTTAATTGACGCTTGCGCTTTACTCGTAAGTCTGGCTAAGTGTAGCTGCAGTTGCATTGCTTTGAGCAATTATCTCCACTGCCACCCCGTAGTTGATTAGCGAATATTTACGTATGCATTATACGTATTGGATATTTTTCATTTCATAGCCCAATAAGTGCATACAGATCTATCTTTCGCCATTAAAACGGCCATCATGAAAATTAATAATGAAACGGCGTTATGGGACCGATTATAAGGAATTTATTTACACTCTCACGAATTTTAATCTTCATAAAAACGATATTTATGTGCGATTTCGATAAAACAACTCATTTCTTTTTATTTACGAGCGAAGAAGCCCTTTAATAATTGATGGGCGAAAACGGGGTGGCAACAGTGATGTTTTAATTTAATTTTCTGTTTGCTCGATTAGACTTTAAGTAAAATGCAAATGAAATTGTGGATCATGACCGCACCATATCACGCCGAGCCATACAGTGAAGTGCTCTTGTTTGTAAACAATCGATCTCTAAGATAATTGCACCACCGCTTCACAATAATGATAATTAGATCGATTGTTCTGACGTCATGAATCAACCGACGGCCCATTCAAATCGTAATTAAGCCAGAAAAAATCTAATTCAACGATAAACGTTTGTTTATGTTGTTAATGTATCAACGGTAATAAGTTTTTCCATTAGCTAACAATTATTTACACAGACAGTATCGATCAGTGGGGTTTCCATTCATGCGTTTTCTGACGTATTGTAATTATTGTTATTGATCTTTTATGTGTCGGACATGGAAAAACAATCGCTAATTTGGAACCTGACTGTGAGCAGACATCGAAAACACCAAGCGAAATCTTCAACCACAACCTCGACAAAGATTCCAAATCCGTACTTGCATGTTCGTGTCGCGAAGAATTCTCTAAAGACATGTTTAACAACCGAGCGAACGCACGCGAATGCTCCATCTTTATTCGCGTTACCTTCGTTTATGCAAAAAAAGAACGCGGATTTACCACAGTGGAGGTTACGTAGAACCAGAACCCCCACTATATCACTACTACTAGTCTAAATGTAATATTTTGTTGCTGCTTGGAATGAATGGAACGGTAACGTAATGGATTTCTGTGCGTTTGTTCGCTTGGTGGCATTTATTCTGGTGCAAGGGTTGACAATAATTTGCGAAAGACGAAAGAGTGTTTGTCTGTTTTGGATTTGGTGCTAACTGCGAAAGGCATAAAAATATTTTATCGTTCCATTAAGGGTTTGATTTCGCAGTAAGCCTTTGAAAGATTTTTTAATCCTGTAGAGGGAGTGCGGCGTTTGCCGTGCGAAGGTGAAGGTTTAAGTAAATAAGTGAGTGCCGAAGCGGGAGCGCGTCGATAATTGAAAAATCCAATAATTGTGAGTGTTGTCGGTCGTTATTAAAATACATTGGTTTAGGGGCAAATTGGGCATTGTTATTCCATCGCACGAACTGTCTCCGAATTAGGGTTTGATGTTTTAATTCCAGAAACGGGTCCTGCTCAGTCGCATGAAACACAAACACTCGTCTAGGACCAATAACACGGCCTTAGTTCGATACTCCTGAGCTTAAACTGTAATTAAGTTGCAGTACGTTTCCAGCGGAACAAATTGCTGCATTCTCTCTTACCGTTGAAATTAAGCGAACCATATTTTTTTCTGTTACGGCATGCTATCAAATAAATTAAATTATATAGGTTTTTCCTTTATCCCAACGGCAACATGTTTCTACACCAACGGAAAAACATTCCAACTTTTCGCCCCACTTAGAAGCTGCTACAACTTTCTTTTGCATTCTCGCAGAACAAACGTCGATCTGTCAGATCCTCTGCTATCACTTTATCATAAAATTTTCGTGAAGTTATTAACGCAGCGCTACTCCGGGATATTATTCCTGGAAGTCGTGCATTATATGAAATCGTTTCTTAGCAGAGGATCGCTCTTGGAAGGGCAAAGGGTCGCCCGCATTGTTAGAACGAAGGCACAGGATTTTCGCAATAATGGTAACTTGTTTATCGTTGCCGTGCGATCAACCCTGCATAACAAAATCCAATCGTATAGATTGCGGTTTGATAGGAAATTTTTTCATAAAACGCCGCGACACAAATTACACGTTTTTGAAATATGCGAAAAGCGTTGTACATTTCAGGGGTCGTTTACCAATGAAACAAATATTCGAATCGGAAAAGTTTCAACACTTTATACATCTAGTAGTAGCTCATTGTTCTAAATAAATGAAACGAAAGGCGAATCCAAATCAACTCGGTTGTAATTTTGTATCCAATGTAGCAACTTTCAGCTAAATCTGCGTGATAAGTAAACCAGAAAAATTAATCTGAATTATTTATAAACACTGTATTAGTTTTGAGATTAACTTTCGATGTCAAAAGACTCCGTTGATGTGATTTGATTTTTGATGCGGAGATTTCATCACCGATAAATCCGTAACTCATACGTCGACGTTACCGGTAATAACTAAAAGCACAAAAGCTTCACTAATCACAAAGGACCCGATGCACGATTGTGTTCTTTAATAAAAGTGCACCAAGGCATTAATCAATTGTCTGTTATGCCAATGCAAGTGCTTAATTGCTCGTTAGAACAGATTTAAATTGTTTCTATCGGTGTAAATCCCGTCGTTTCGATTTAAACTCCACGCAAAAAGAAAAAATCAAACCGACAACGTTATAATAGAATGTTAACATAATTTCCACCACTGATAAATAACTCCGATAAAAAACTTTACAATCACGAATATAGCGTTGTATGACTCCTGCACCTAAATGATTTTTTTTTATTTCTTACACGGAATTGTCGAAATTGCATCAATTTCGCCGCCCCTTTGTCCCTTACTTTTGGACACCGGCCAAGACCTTAATTCATCTGTAAACAATACAAGCGTCCGGTTCTTTTTCGATCTGTTCATGTAATACGTGCCTTGCGATTGCCCTGACTTGAAGACGCTTAATCTGGTCCTTTTTTATTGTTATGACCCGCAGACTCGTAAGTGTTCGAACCCGACCTGCAATAGAATCGAGATTTGGTCGTTTAATTATGGAAGTCGAGAAAAAGAAAAATCAAACTTTTGCTGATACCCGACGACCACGACCCCTTATCAATAATTCAGCAGTGCGGCTAAGGGCTCGTTCTAATTGTAAAAATTATGTGTCCAAAACTAGCGATGTTTAAGTGATGTTTTAGTTGGTCGCGTCGTCAAATAACGCAGTAATATCATTTTTACATCCGAAATGCTTTGAATGCGTGTTTCCGAAACTATTCGCCAAATTGTTAGATTTTGAATATACAAGTCGCACTTCCAAGTCGAATCTGCAAGCAACCCTAAAATTCTTTCAAGTTAAAGAAATTTCGACTTAAAGAAAATTAAAAAAAAAATTATTAGAATTAGAAACTAAGTTTTATTGTTACGGATGCTTTTTGCTACTTTTTTTAATTTGTCAAGCTATCCTGTACTGACTTTAAAATTTTCATTTTCTAAAGTGTCTGCAAATGTTAACGCTTTTTGTTTTAAAATGGAGCCAGATACAAAAAAAATTTGAAAACGGCTGTCTTCACACTTTTTCGTGGTTTATTTCTTTTAAACTTGTTTAATGTACTGCTTGGTATTTCATATGCTTGAGTAACACTTTTCTTTTACACACCTTCACAATCTTCTAACTTTTCGAGTTATAGAATTTTGGTGTTAAAAAAATCAAAATACGTGTAAATTTGATTAAAATGCCTCGGGAACACTGGTCTAATTATAAAGAAGTTCTACTAATGGAGGTTCGGTTTATTGAAGTTCGACTGTATATTAGGAATGCCATGTAGTTGGTAAAACGCTAACCAAAATTTGGCTGATATGTCTATTCTTATACGATCCAAACAAATAGTTTCTGTCGCATAATCAACTATTGCGGCGGTTTGTTTTAAATGTAAGGTTATGTTTCTGCCAAATGGATGTTGTAAGTGTAGACATGCCAATGAAATTCCAACGCCTACTCTGAGTGACTTTTCAATAAAATACCAGTTATTTCAGGGGTGAAACCTTCGACTAATTTTTTAATGAAGATTTTTTGTGCTTTTTGTTGCCGAAGTTGTAATTTCGGTATTGTGTCTTAATGCATCGTGAAAGCTCATTTTTGATGGATGAATTTGTGCACTCATTACGGCTTGCACTTTTTCGTGTTTAAAACGACTAATCCATTCCATGGATCGACCATCACACGCAATCGCAATTATCCGCGATGATAATGGCAGAGATGGTATAAAAATATAAGTTTCCGTGAAAGAAAAAACCATGAAGGTGTAGACGTAAGTTTTGTTTTTGTTGTTGATGAGAGTGGATTACATGTATTGCGGATTTTTTTGCTTTTTTGTGTCGATGAATAATTTATTTGTGGTTCTAATGGTTGATCAATAGGGTAATGATGGTGGTCATAAAGCGAATGCTGTTGCCAAGTGGAGTGTTATCTGTTTATCAGATCGTGTAATCGATGTGATTTCGAAGAGTATTA